TGGACCTGGATGCACGAGTCACTTTCTGGTCCATATCTTTGCTTATAAAATGAGAGGGTTGGGACCAGCACTGTGGTGTAGCAGGTAAAGCCACTACCTGCAGTGCCAACATCCCATATGGATGCTGGTTCAAGTCCCAGCTGTTCCACTTCCCATCCAGCTCTCTGCTATGGCCTGGGAAGGCAGTAGAAGATGGTCCAAGTCCTTGGGCCCCTGTACCCACGTGGGACACTAGGAAGAAGCTCCCGGACCCTGGCTTCGGATCAGCACAGCTCTGGCCATTGCAGCCATCTGGGGAGTGAACCAGCAGATGGAAGACCTCTCTCTCCCTGCCTCTCTGTAACTCTGCATTTCAAAGAAATAAATAGAGAGACACAGCGAGAGAGAGAGGGTTACACTACACAGTTACGATCTTTAGATAGACTGGAATGGCTACCCAAAAAATCTAAATTCAAAACAAGCATGTGCCAAGCATGTGCTCTAAGACCACCATTTAATACTCTCCTGGCAATCTTTGTTTGTTTTGACAGGCAGTAATTTGGCCAAAACAAAACACACACACACACACACACACACAGGTGTGACGACTGAAAAGGCAAGATTTTATCATGACACATAAATGATGATGAGTGTATCTGGGACATCCAAAAGAAGCAACTGAAAAATATTCTTAGAAAAAAAAAAGTCGGGGCCGGCACAGGGCGTTAATCCTCTGCCTACAGCGCTGTCATCCCACGTGGCTGCTGGTTCTAGTCCCAGCTGCTCCTCTTCCGATCCAGCTCTCTGCAATGGCCTGGCTCAAGCGCTTGGGCTCCTGCACCTGCGTGGGAAACCTAGAAGAAAGCTCCTGGCTCCTGGCTTCGGATCGGTGCAGCTCTGGCTGTAGCGACTATTTGGGGAGTGAACCAGCAGAAGGAAGACCTTTCTCTCTGTCTCTCCCTCTCACTGCCTGTAACTCTGCCTCTCAAATAACAAAAATCTTAAAAAAAAAAAAAAAAGTCATCATTAAAGGACTTTGTAAAATAACGCTGACATTTAGACACATATATACCAATATAAACAATGAAAATAAAGACATCTGATTTTCATTTAAAAAAATTTCAGCCGGCGCCGCGGCTCACTAGGCTAATCCTCCGCCTTGCGGCGCCGGCACACCGGGTTCTAGTCCCGGTCGGGGCGCCAGATTCTGTCCCGGTTGCCCCTCTTCCAGGCCAGCCCTCTGCTGTGGCCAGGGAGTGCAGTGGAGGATGGCCCAGGTGCTTGGGCCCTGCACCCCATGGGAGACCAGGAAAAGCACCTGGCTCCTGGCTCCTGCCATCGGATCAACGCGGTGCGCCGGCCGTGGTGGCCATTGGAGGGTGAACCAACGGCAAAAGGAAGACCTTTCTCTCTCTCTCACTGTCCACTCTGCCTGTCAAAAAAAAAAATTTTTTTTTCAAAACCTTCGAAGACATAAAAGACTTGACTAAATGAAAATATCTTGCTTTTGAATTAAAAGACTCAGAACCGGGACCAGCCTATGGCACAGCAGGTTAAACTGCTGCTTGTGACACCGGCTTCCCATACCAGAGCACCAGTTCGAGTACCGGCTGCTCCTCTTCGGAGCCAGCTCTCTGCTATGGCCTGGGAAAGCAGTGGAAGACGGCCCAAGTCCTTGGGCCCCTGCACTCACGTGGGAGACCCGGAAGAAACTTCTTGCTCCTGGTTTCCGCCTGGCCCAGTCCCAGCAGTTGAAGCCATTTTGGGAGAGAACCAGCAGACAGAAGATCTCTGTCTGTGCCCGCTCTCTCTGTGTCCTTTTCAAATAAATAAATCGTTGAAAGAAAAAGCTCAGAACTGTAGAGATGTCAAGAAATAAAGCCGATGCTAAACAAAATACTTCACCATGATAAAATGACACCAAAATTCATCCAGAAAAAGAAACACACCACCACCAAAAAAAAAACAAAAACAAATGAAGAGATACTAGCCCAACTAACCAATCCTAATAAGCATCTACCAGGTACTTCCCTCTGACACTAGGTAAGTATTATAATTCTCATTTGCTCATCACAGCCCAAGTTAGAGAATCTTATTGTCCCAATTTACAAAAACTGCGGCCTGATTGAAAAGCAACTTGCCCAAGGTCACAGAGCTAGTAAGTGGTAGAGCTGGTAGTTGAACATAGATGATATTCCCGAGCTTTAAACCAACTAGAAAAAGATCCAGTGACATTGTGGGAATTTCGTTTATAATTCAAATCAGTGAGAAATAATTAAAAGGCCCTTAGATAGCTAGAACCTTATATCAAAGTAAATCCAAGGTAGGTCAGAATTTTTTTTTAAGATTTATTGGCCGGCGCCGCGGCTCACTAGGCTAATCCTCCGCCTGTGGCACCGGCACACCGGGTTCTAATCTGGTCGGGGTGCCGGATTCAGTCCCGGTTGCTCCTCTTCCAGTCCAGCTCTCTGCTGTGGCCTGGGAGTGCAGTGGAGGATGGCCCAGGTCCTTGGGCCCTGCACCCGCATGGGAAACCCGGAGGAAGCACCTGGCTCCTGGCTTCGGATCGGCACAGCGCACTGGCCGTAGCAGCCATTTGGGGGATGAACCAGCGGAAGGAAGACCTTTCTCTGTCTACTGTCAAAAAAAATTTATTTATTTATTTATTTAGGGGCTGGCGCTGTGGCACAGCAGGTTAAAGCCCTGGCCTGAAGCGCTAGCGTACCATATAGGCACTGGTTCTAGTCCCTGCTGTCCTCTTCCAATCCAGCTCTCTGCTGTGGCCTGGGAAGGCAGTAGAAGATGGTCCAAGTCCTCGGGCCCCTGCACCCACATGGGAGACCTGGAAGACACTCCTGACTCCTGGTTTCAGATCGGTGTGGCTCCAGCCGTTGCAGCCATCTGGGGAGTGAACCAGTGGATGGAAGACTTCTCTACCTCACTCTGTAACTTTTTCAAATAAACAAAATAAATCTTAAAAAAAAATTTATTTATTTGAAAGGCAGAGTCACAGAGACAGAGGCAGAGGCAGAGACAGAGAAAGTCTTCTATCTGCTGGTTCACTCCCCAAATGGCTGCAATGGCCAGGGCTGGGTTAGACCAAAGCCAGGAGCCAGGAGCTTCTTCTGGGTCTCCTACTTGGGTACAGGGGCCCAAGGACTTGGACCATCTTTCACTGCTTTCCCAGGTGAGTTAGCAGGGAGCCAGGACTCTACCTGGCAGCTTTATCCTATATGCCACAATGCCGGCCTCCAAGGTCAGAAATGAAATTCAAAGAAGAAAAGAGAAAAAAGTCATAAAAAATCTCTCCTTCTCAAGTTAAAAAAAATGGTTAAAAAGATCCTGGAATGGAGAGAGCCATACAAACAAGATACAAAACTTAAAAACAAACAAAAATTATTATAAGGGCCAGCATTGTGGTAAAGCCACCACTTGCAATGCCAGCATCCCATACGGGCGCTGGTTCATGCCTCAACTGCTCCACTTCCAATCCAGCTCCCTCTTAATGGCCTGAGAAAAGCCGCAGACCCCTGCTATCCACATGGGAGACTCGGAAGCTCACGGCTCCTGGCTTCGGCCTGGCCCAGCACTGGCTGTTGTGGCCATCTGGGATGTGAACCAGCGGATGGACGATCTCTGTCTCTCCCTCTCTCTCTGTAAGTCTTTCAGTTAAATAAATCTTTGGGGGAAAAAAAGTTATCAACTTTTCATAAAAGTATAAACTTCTGATACAAAAACTACATTTAAAAATCAAAAAACTAGGCCGGCGCCGCGGCTCAATAGGCTAATCCTCCGCCTAGCGGCGCCGGCACACCGGGTTCTAGTCCCGGTCGGGGCGCCGGATTCTGTCCCGGTTGCCCCTCTTCCAGGCCAGCCCTCTGCTGTGGCCAGGGAGTGCAGTGGAGGATGGCCCAGGTGCTTGGGCCCTGCACCCCATGGGAGACCAGGAAAAGCACCTGGCTCCTGGCTCCTGCCATCGGATCAGCGCGGTGCGCCGGCCGCAGCGCGCCGGCCGCGGCGGCCATTGGAGGGTGAACCAACGGCAAAGGAAGACCTTTCTCTCTGTCTCTCTCTCTCACTGTCCACTCTGCCTGTCAAAAAATAAAAAAAAAATAAAAAAAAAAATAAAAAAAAAACTACTAACTGTTATATGATGAAATCTCCTTAAATTTCCAAGGAATTTCTAACGAGAAGACCACCACAAAGGAATTATTAAAGGTCAGGACATAGAAGAAAGTGTTCAACCTCATTCAGAATGAAAAGAACACAAATCAAAACCACAAAATACTACTTTTCACTAATCACCTGACAAAAACTGAGTAGGTAACACCTTTATTAATATAAAGGTATAGGGAGATGAAGGCACTCGGATAGCCTCTGTCAAGATTCCAAATGCACAGTCACTAACCAGATGTTCCAGTGCTAGGAATGAGGTTGTTCTATGAATACTGTATTTAAAGATGTTCACCGCAGCGCTATTTGAGAAATCAAAAAAAAAGAAAATGAAAACTGAACTAAATACTGTGAAGCTTTTTTTTCTTAAAGTCCAGCTGTGGAATGAAAAATGCCTAAAATATATTAAATTTAAAAGAGTGCACTTGCATTTTTTAAAATGAGGAGAAATAACACAGACTCGCAGAGAAAAACTGCAAAGCTACTGACCGCTTCTGCACAGCACAAAGAGGAAGCGGGATTATTTTACCATCTGAATTCTTTCCCATGCACACGTGGAACCTTGATAGCTTTTTTTTTTTTTAATGAGCCCAACAAAAGAGCATCTCAACTAAGGCACAACGAACAATAAAGACACAAACTTCAAGGGAGTTTTTCTTTTTTCAAACATTTACTGAACACAAACACCATATTTTTCCTTTTGTACAGCAAGATTGTTAGTTTCAAATTAGCTGAGCTATTAGGACTGTTCATTGCCACTAAATTTAAAAAAAAGTGATTCGACATGTCAAACTCAAATGGGGGGGGGGGAAGACCATGCAATATACAAATCACTAACAGACCTCTGGTGCAGTCAGCAAGTTCACTATTTTATTAAAGTCACATAAATGATTTGACAAAAGTACACAATCGAATGACATCATTGGTTTGTTCTAATGCACAGTGGATTACTAGAATACAACAAGGCGACTCCCCCACACCGAGGACTACAGGGAGGGTGCGTATTCAAGGACAGATCTCTCCAATAGTTTAGGCCAGGCAGACTTTACTCCCCAACGATGTGCCTCTGCGAAGATTGGTTAGGAAAGTGGAGGGTTTTTTTTTTTTCCCTCTCCCAATTATTAAGCAACAAGAAAAAAGGCCATGCACAATTTTACAACACCTGATAAAAAACAGATACAGAACCTGGTTCACGTCACCAACTCGGCAAGCTTGTGTCTTCACCCTGTCATTTTTCTGGTTAGGCCGCTCATGCCATGACTCACTCCTAAATGAAAGGCTGTTAGTACTTCAGCAATGCTCGCCCCTGCACACAAAGCAAGACACACGCCCCGTTGCCACCAAGTCACTGCCCCTCCCCTACACAGTAACACAAAAGGACACACCACAAACCTAGGACTAGAGACCACATTTATTTTACAGTTTTAAAAACTAATACATCACCACTATCAATGAAGGATTTATGTCAGACCCTGCATTCAGGGGAGGGGATCTGTACGAGCCAGCCCGTGAGAAGATCTGGGCAAGTCTGCGAGAACCCTGCCATGGGACAGACACTGCGAGGCGCCTTCTCCTTTCAAGAGAAGCTATCCAGGACACGGCTGTGCATCTTGAGAGAAGCAATGGACACACAGCTTACAATCTCCTGGACTAAAAACTTCTCAGAGAGAAAGGCAGACTTTTGCTTTCTTTAACCCCTTTCAAAGTTAGAGTAGAATCAGTGAGGAAAGCAGAAGCCTGGCTAGTCTGAAGTGGAACAGTTAAGGTTTTTACAGAAAATCGACCATGAAAACAAGCCCACTGCACTTTCTTTCACCTACTCACTGGTTCAACTGCCAGCCGCTTCTAAACCAGCCAATAGTACTTAATCCAAGGTACGGCAACTCAAATTGCGCACCCCACCCCACCCCACCCCAAAAATGCTTCTCATTGAGTTACCCAGAGTGGTCTTATTCAGAAAGTAGCTGCCTCAACTGTGGTAGGAACCCTAATAGGGTGTTGCTCCCTGGAAATGTTGATTTTCAAAAACACTCGTCAAACAGTCAGCATGAGGGAGCTGCTGCCTTCAAATCTGACTTCACATCAAACAATGCTGTTACACCTCGCTACAGGCTCACTGTTAGCCACCATTAACTATTAGTACATAAAACGAACCCTTCTCAGGAAAAAGGCCTACAGATAATCCACTTTTTAGCTAGTCTATTAAAGGTTCCCACAGCAAAGGTGGGTGGGCTGTGGCCCCACTAGAGCAGTCCAGGGTAGACCAAATAAACTCAGGTTGTCAGCATCGGTTCTTAGTGAAAATGTCCCCCTTCTGCATCAGTGAAAGGGGTGAATTTGTTGCACACTCCTTGAATTAGTTATTTTAACTCCAGAGTTCAATTTCACCAATTCTACTGCAAGTATGAAGCCCACTTAAGTCAGGGCTGGCCAATATAAAGCGTCCACCCAGGTCTCTAGCTCATCCAGATCTATAGGACGTAGAAGAAATCACGTATCAAGCAGAACAGAGAGGTTCTGAACGAATCTGTAATGCTCTCCAGGAAGAGTTACAGTTCAAAGCAGATTTCTACCAATAATAGAAGTCAAATGACAACAGTGGCTGCACAGTGGAGTCAGCCTAGAGTTCGTAGTGAGCTGAGGTGTAAAACTATAACCTTTCTTATCTATTTTCCTTTTAAAACAGCAAACAAACAAAAAAAATACTAAGTTTGGGAGGGGTTTGGCGAAACATACTTTTAAATAATTCTACCAAAAATTTTTAAAAAACAGGCATGTAGATCACTTGTTTCAAGAATGCTTTTATACAGGTGTTTCACAACACACATCGGTTTTACAAGACAGAATTAGATCCCCAGCGAGAGAGCGCACAATGTACTACTATACTACAGTTTAAAAAAAAATCTAGTTACCATTAGCACAGTTCATATGTCATTACCCTCTTCGATTCTTTCTCCATCTTTGTCAGCTTCCAATCAGCACGGTTTTACCTTCTCCAGCACAGTCTTCCCTCCTCCACAACACTGAGGGACATTAAATTTTGATGTCTGAATATGTACATAGTCGGTATCTTTATTTTGTAACTAATGTCTTAAATAGTGCTGGTCCTGGGAAGCCGAAGGGATGAAATGTGTTTTTAAAACATGCAACATTATCTGATATTTCAAGTGTTTAAAAATCATACACACCAATAATGGAGCCAACTGAATACCAAGTATCATAGCCATTCCCCAGACTGTCCAACAAGCAGGCCTTGCACTGTGAAGGTCCGAGCCATGGAAAAGGCATGATTCACTCGCCTTAAGGAAAAACGCATTTTCTCCTTCAGGCCACAGGATCTCCCTGACTCACACTAGCAGGATCAAGGTTGGGTAATTCTCAAATTAGGGCTCAAATGCCTTCCTTTAAGCCATCCTAAAAAAGCCTCTTTAAAAAATCTCATGTTAGGAAATCACGTATCTATCAACAGGGCAGAATTGACCATCAAAGCATTCCTAACTGAAGCAAGAAGACAGTCAAAGTGTTAATAGAGCTGTAGAAGTATCATGCTTCCCGGAGGGAAAAAGTGTTTAAACCTCCCTTTCCATCTCCTCCCACCCTTCAAAGTATCTCTTTTCGTGGGGCATCTCTTATTTAAGGCCCTAGGTGCTGATTTTGGCTTGGTCATTGTTTGACACTGCTCTAACTGCAACCTTTCTCTTGTATTTTACAAAGCAACATCTGCACATAAAATGTTGATTGAAACCTTACGGGTTTGTCTAAGCGTATCTGATGTAGCCACGTCGTTATAATGCTTTTTGTTAAGGAAAAAAGAAAGCTGCAGATCTTCACTTACAGTACCATGCACTATGAGTAGCGAAGGCATTCATTTGGCACTAGAGAGAAAATTACAGATACGGCTGATTTTACTTTATCGTTTTTAGTATCAATAGAAAGAGATGTGTATCCTTTACTTGAATTTCTGTGATGCTTAAAAGATAACCACAGAATACTTTATCTGACAGTTAAAATGTTGCCATTAAAACCAAACCAAACAAAAATGCATAAAGACTCCTGTAGAGCTGTCAGAATAAGCAACATTTTGTGGCTGAAAAATTTGTAGTTCTGACAAAAAATACCTTTCAAGTGGAATTGAGAATTATTTTCATCCTCAAAAACGTTCTATTTCCTGGACCACATCAATAATTTTTCTACTTCTTGTCACAGACTAAGAAAGGAAAAATTCAAAAATATCCTGGTTCTTTTTCATCTGTCACAAACACCTTATTAGGGAGGCACAAATAATGCCCTCTGGAAAAGTAGCTTTCCATTTTGTGGAAGAAACAACACGAGAGGGAAGGGAGAAGGGGACAAAAATAGAATGTGTAACTATATTGTGACAACTTGTTTCATAAGAAAACACAGAATTCATAATTTTTACACATCCATAAAATGAATCAAATGCAGACTGCTGCAATTTAGATAAATTTCATTAAAACAGGCTTTGAAGAATTTGCGCCTAAAGGCAAAGAGTTCATCAGTATTCTTTGAAAAACTGGTTTTAAGATTACTACCACTTTGTCTATAGTATCCACAATTATGCAACAATTTCAAAGGATTTAACTTGAGACATTTGCCAAGTGTTGTTAGTGAAGTAGCACATTCAGATTCATCTGCAGCTGTTTTTTAAATCCTCCTGATGTTAATGTGTGTTGCAGCACTCCACAGAAGAAATGAAGAGTGACAGCTATCCGCAGCAGCTTGGCATGGGCAGAACACCTGAATATCCCACCACTTTCCATGTTCCTTTGTAGTTCCTCTTCTTCATGAAATCCTCCAAATTGCGGCGTGGAAAACACGCTGACATGGGCTTAACAGAAACACTGCTGTAGGCAGCTGTTTAAACATCATCAACTTGAAATCATAAATGTCCCCTACTATATAAACAAAATATTTCATATTCGTTCCTTTAAAGAGGAAAAAAAAAGGAGAAATTGTTAGGTGATCAACGTTCCAAATACCTCAAACTCTAATTACACCTAAACAATGTGGCTTTGTCTAAAGTGTGTTTGAAATCGATTCCCATAACAGGCAGGAACAAACACAGAACTAAGGGAGGCTGGGTTGGGAGGAAGGGTAGTGGAAAGAAAAGCAGAATTTATGAACACATAATTCTATTGTCTGTGATTAAAGTCCTTTACTTTTTAGCACCACATTAAACGATTTTACATATCCAGTCACTTAATGAAATCCAACAAACTCTTCAAGAGTTCTGGGGATCTGGTCTTGGTAGTTAATGTCATTAGCCCGAACTGCTCGGGCAGCCAGGCACTTGAGACTCATCTTCATTTGAGTTTTAAGTAGTATTTCTGAGACCCCAGTTGTGCTTTTGTCGAGCGGAGTCTTATTCTGTTTGTTCGTCATGTCAGTGTGAGCGCCAGCTTCAACCAGGCTGATGATGATAGAGTGCAAGGTCAAGAAGTCACTGATGGGCCTGTTGTACTGAACAATGATATGCAGTGCACTGTTGCCCTCGTTGTCCACAGCGTTCACCTCGGCACCACAGTCCAGCAGGAGCTTGGTGACCAGCGCGTTGGGAAAGCTGCAGACGTCATTGGTGTGGAAATCGTCGACTGGCGTGTTGGAGTTGACCGCGAGATGCAGCAAGGTGAAACCTTCCCGAGTTCTGGGGTCGAGGTGGATCAGGTTGTATATCTGCTTGTTAATTTTGCACTGATCTTCTTCGCTGCACTGTGTTTTGGTGGAGATGCACACTAAATACAGAAAGGTATAGAGATTACATTCGTAATTGTCCATGGCGTTGTGTACATCAGCATCTGTAACATTTTTCACTCTGTTCATACTCTGTTCTATTTCCAAAACACTGCATCTCAAAACACATTCTATGTCCGGGGCCTTCACAGTTTCATTCAGATGGATCATCTGTGAGAAAACTTGAGCGAATCGAAGAAGATCCTTGTGAGTATTCCTGTTACCCTTCTGCCTGAGGTGCAGGGCGTGCAGCCACAACTTGATACACTGTTCAAATTCCATGTTGTCCGCGTAGACAGCCCCCCTGTAAATGATGGGGTGGGAAACATCGATGTTGTCAGCCCCTAAAATCCGCTCCCGAACTATAAGGCCTTCCATGTGAAGAGCATCTCGGTCTTGCCGAATGGCTTCCAGTTCCTGAGGATTTCTACATTCAGTTCTATTCCCGTACGCATGGATTGGTGGCAGAACCTCTTTTTCAAGGATGTTATCACCATCTTGAAACCTCTCCAACATGGCTAAGTACAAATAGTGGTATGTCTTCATGATATCATAGTTCTCACGGTCATTTGCAAAGGAGGCACCCAGGAGTTCCAAAGCTTCAATGCGACTTCTTCGGTCACAATCAGCATGAGAGAGTAACAGTTCAACAACATCAGCCTTACAGCTCTCAGCAGCCACCTTCAGGGGCGTCATCCCGTGGCCGTTCACAACGATTGCGGCGCGCCATTTTATCAGCTCTTTCACGATATCTATGTGCCCGGCTTCAGCCGCAAAGTGCAGTGCTGTGGCTCCACAGTGTGCTTTAGCATTGGGATCAGCACGTTGTTCTAAAAGGTATCTGACCACATCAGTGTGTCCCTTGTATGCTGCAATCATTAGGCAGGTGTTGTCATACTTGTTGGCAATGCTGATGTTGGCATTATTTTCAACTAAGTATTTCACAATATCCAGTCTGCCGTCAAAGCATGCTGCCCGTAGTGGGGTCGAATTAGTGACGGTGGTATGGTTCACGTTGGCTCCGTGGCTGACTAGAAGCTTAACAACTTCAAAGTGTCCAGCTCCCGCGGCACACCAAAGAGCAGTGGCGCCATCGATGACATACCTGCCCATGAAAAGAGCAAACCATTACATGATGGCAGCCACATGCCTTAATATGAGTTTAAAGGATGCATCACCTGCATCAACCAAAACCTCACCCTCCAGAACATTCATAAAAGATCGGATTTTGTGAAAATAAAAACAGGTAATTCTAGTAAAGTACTCTGTATGGTACTTGTACCTAGTATGAGGGTAAATCAGGGTTAGGTTAAGGGTTACAGTTATATTGGGATTAGAGTAAGATTAGGGCTAGCATTAGGGTTAAGGGTAAGGCTAGTCTTAGGCTAGATTTATGGACAGGACTTGGGATAGGGTTAGAGCTAGGGCTAGGGCTAGGGCTAGGGCTAAAGCGAGGGCTACAATTAGGGTTAGGGCTGGGTTGAAGTTTAGCCTAGGGCCTGGGCTAGGGCTAGGGTTAGGGTTAGGGTTAATTTTAGGTTTAGGGTTAGGGCTAGGCCAAGGCTATGGTTATGGTTAGGGTTACAGTTAATGGGTTACAGCTAAGGTGAGAGTAAGAATGAGAGTTAGCATTACAATTACAGCTAGCTATTAGTTATCATTGCTACAGCATATAAACCTTAAAAAAAAAAAAAAAAAAAAAAAAAGCAGAGAATCACCAGAAAACACAGAAGAAATGCAAGGGGTTTACAACATGTTTACCACCAAGCTGATCCACTGGCTGGGGGAGGCAGTGAACGGGAGGGAGCACACACAGTCCTTCACGTTCATCTTGTGAAAAGGCTCTACTTTCCATCGATGCCTTTCCCTGTACATCTAAGTTGTTAAGATATACCTGTACCGATGTGTATATACTGAATGTCTGTGTGCTCTTCAACCAAATCCTTCTGGAAGAAACTACTAACAGCAGGAAACAAGCAGCACTTCTGAAAACCAAGCAGGGACCTTCCCCACCGTGATGTGGACTTTACAGCTTCACAGTCACCACTTACTGAACACCTGCACGTGCTAAGTTCACTACTTAGACTCTCACATAAATCACTTTCATTTTTCCACTTTCGATTTCCCCCAATCTCAACGGATTTTTATCCTACCACTGACCAAAAGACCTGAAAAGTAGATTTTTGTTAGAGATTTAGATCTGTTGTGCTAGAAACTAGCGAGTATACTTGGAAGCGTTAAGGAACAAGGTTGATCAAAGCAATATTCACCACAGTGATCGGGTATATACCAAGAACCTCACTAGTGAGTCAACAGGTCAAATTGTACCTCCCATGAAGTGAAAGAGTTGGAACATGTCCTCTCCAACATTCAGATTCGGACAATGTGATAGTACTGAGAGAAGAGGCCTCTCAGAGGTGATGAGGGCCAGAAAGCTCCGGCTTTTGTGAATGGCAGTAAGACTCCAGGAACAGAGCAGTGCCACAGCCCTTCTGCTTCCTGCCAGAACAGAGCACTCCTCCCCTCCAGACACAGGCCTCATAAGACGACCAAACTTACAAGCACCTTGACCTTGGATTGTCTAGTCTCCAGTACTGTGATAAATAAACTTCTTGACTTTATCAATTACTCAGCCTCAAACATTTTGTTATAGCAGCACAAAACAGACTAAGATAAAATCAAAGTTTAATCCCAGTTAGCAACATCTCAAAAATACCTTCTACCACCTCTGTTGAAAATAAAATTCTCAGTATATAATAATTCAAGTGATTAATTCCTCAATTTAAAATAATGCCACAAAATGTTTATAAGCAAAAGCTGTCTCAGTACCAGTGGTTACTTATGCATGAAGGCGGTAGTATCAATAGGCTTGAAGGTACTGGATGCTGTATCTTCATCTGGGGTGTGTTCACATGGATGTGTATTTAGGGGGAAAATTTTTCCACCAAACTACACACTTCATATCTGTGCATATTACTGTACTTAAGATACACATCAACAACAACAAAAAATCAGAAGGGCCCACCGCTGTATAGTGGGTTAAGCTGCTGACTGCGACACTGGCATCCCATATAGGGGCTGGTTCAAGTCCCAGCTGCTGCACTTGTGATCCAGCTCCCTTCTAAAGCACCTGGGAAAAACCAAGTACTTAGGCCCCTACACTCATTCAACCTAGCCCAGCCCTGGCCATTGCAGACATGTGGGGAATGAAGAAGCACACAAAAGATCTCTCCCTCTCTGGTCACTGCAGACATGTGGGGAATAATAGAAGTGCGCTTACGCTCTCTCTCTCTCTTGCTCTCTCTCTCTCTCTCTCTCTCTGCTTTTAAAAGAAATACATTTTTAAAAAATCAGAAAACTGGGGCCTGTGCTATGGCATGGTGGGTAAAGCTGCCACTTGCGGCACCAGCATCTCATTTGAGCACTGGTTCGAATCCTGGCAGCTCCACCTCTGATGCAGCTCTCCGCTAATGAGCCTGAGAAAGAAGTGGAAGATGGCCCAAGTACTTGGGCCTGTGCAACCACATGGGAGACCAAGATGAAGCTCCTGGCTTTGGATCAGCCCAGCTCAAGCCACTTCAGCCATTCAGAGAATGAATCAGCGGATGGAAGATTCTTTCTCCCCACGCCCCCCCACGCCCACTTCTCTGTAACTCTGCCTTTCAAAAAAAAATAAATCTTTTTTTTTAAATCAGAAAATTTCTGAAGTTTCTTTTTAAATTTTTTTTTAAAACATCATTTAGGGACTGGTACTGCAACGCAGTGGGTAAAACTACTGCCTACAGTGCCAGCATCCTATATGGGCGCTGGTTCAAGTCCCGGCTGCTCCATTTCTGATCCAGCTCTCTGCTATGGCCTGAGAAAGCAGCAGAAGATGGCCCAAGTCCTTGGGCTCCTGTACCTACGTGGGAGACCTGGAGGAAGCTCATGGCTCCTGGCCCAGCTCCAGCTGTTGCGACCATTTGGGAAGTGAACCAACCAGTGGATGGAAGACCTCTCTCTCTGCCTTTCAAATAAATAAATAAATAAATCTTTTTTAAAAAGCCATTTAATTATAAATCATCTTTTAAACTTAATGAATCAAGGAAACAACATTACATCAGTGATGTGTTTCACTGGTTGCCAACTGTACCTTCTAACTCAGCTTTACCAAAATTCACTATTGCATTAAACACTTTTTCTTTTTTCAATTATCATTAGAGAGATACACAGACAAGACAAACAGAGCTCCCATCCTTTGGTTCATTCCCATATGCCTACAGTCAGGCGATGGGCCAGGGCCATCAATACAGCTCCCCCGTGTGGTTAGCAGGAATCCTATCACTTGGGCTATCACAGTTGACTCCCAGGCTCTGCATTATCAAGAAGCTGGAGTCAAGAGCCAGAGCAGGTCTGATGTGGATGAAGACATCTTTAAAAAATATATATATTTATTTATTTGAGAGGCACAGTTACACACAAAGAGAAGGGAACACAGAGAGAATCTTCCATCCTCTGGTTCACTTCTCAAATGGCTGCAATAACCGAGGCCTGGCCAGGCCAAAGCCAGGAGCCAGGAGCTTCCTCCAGGTCTCCCACGCAGGTGCATGGGCCCAAGGATTTGGGCCATCTTCTGCTGCTTTCCCAGGCACATTAGCAGGGAGCTAGAATGAAAGTAGAGCAGCAGGGACTCAAACCAGCAACCCCATGGGATGCCAGCACAGCAGGCGGTGGCTTTAACCTGCCTAGCCGCAGCGCAGGCCCCAGGATGTAGCCATCTTAACTGGCATCTTAACCACTAGGCCAAGCACTCACTCCTTATTATATTTTAATTTCCATGACTGTATATAAATAGTTTAATACTTTTTTGCACTGTCAAAGAAATACTATTTGCAACACCATCAGAAAGTATCAATGTATCTAGTAGTCAATGAGAAACATGCTAGACGTCTACATTGGAAATGGCAAAACTCTTGAGATAAATAAAAGAAAACCCAAATAAGTGGAGAAATACTCCATATTCACAATTCAGAAGACTCCATAGTGTTAAGGTGTCAATTACTCCCTAAAATGATAAAGATGCAATATAATCAAAATCAATATCCCAGTGAACTGTGTAGTATAATTTTGCATGTGCACACATATAAAGGAATGGATAGGCCAGTTCCAAAAAGCACATGGAAATGCAAACAACCAAGATAATCTTGAAGAAAAACAAAAGTTAGAGGGCAAATTACAACAATTAAGATAAGTGTGTTGGGGCCGGCACTGTGACGTAGCAGGTAAAGCCACCACTTGCATTGCTGGCATTCCATGTAGGTGCTGGTTCAAGTCCCGGATGCTCCACTTCCAATTCAGCTCTCTGTTATGGTCTGAGAAAGCAGAAGAAGACGCCCCAAGACCTTGGGCCCCTGCACCCATGTGGGAGACCCAGAAAAAGCTCCTGGCTTCGGACTGGCGAAGCTCCGGCCATTGCGGCCAATTTGGGAGCGACCCAGTGGATGGAAGACCTCTCTCTCTGCCTCTTCTCTCTCTGAGTAACTCTTTCAAAAAAAATAAATAAATCCTTAAAAAAAAAAAAAAGAGATTAGTGTGAGTGTGTTGCTGATACAAAGAACAGTATTATCAACTGAAGCAAAAAAAAGTCCAGAGTCACTTCATTGATGACACAGACTCCAGTGAAATTCAGGTGAAAGCATGTGCGGTCTTTCACAGTAGCTGGAGCAACAAGATAATTTGTATCAAAAAGAATTACCTTTGACTCCTACTTCACACTATGTACAAAACATTAAAGTAACAGTATAAACCTGTAAGGTGCAAAGCAGAATAAATGCTTCTACACACACATACACACACACTCGCACACACTATCTTAATAACCTCAGTGTTGATCAAGATTTCTCAAAGATGCAAAAAGAAAGTAATAACCATAAAACAAAAAAGATTAGACTTCATTAAAACTAAGAACCGCTATTCATTATGATGTTATATCGTAAGCAAGTCATCCACTGAGAAGACATTTGCAAGAGAAACATTTGACAGAACAAGATAATTACTCACCAAAATAAATACAAATTGAAACTAGTAATGACCAACAGACATCCATCAGAATAGCTAACTTAATAA